GGGGGGGGGGGGGGGGGGGCGGCTTGCAGAGTGCTCTTGGGGGTAGGGTGGGAGCAAAAAAGAGCAAAAAACAACCCGTTTTTCACAAAAACGGGCTGTTTTTTTGTCAAATCAGAAACATTGGTATAATGGAAAACTAACAGTATTTCAAAAAGAATACTGTATATATAAACCCTAACATTATTTGAATATATGAAATAAAACTAATGGCTGGATACTTTGTGGCTTGAATTTAACTGAAATTGTATTGAGCTAATATTTCACAAATAGCATTTACTGATTGTTGGGAAAATCCATTCTAGTTAGTAAGTCAAATGCTCTCTTGAAATCTTGTTCCATTACTAAGTCTAGTATCTAGTGTGTACATCTGAATAATAAGGCCTAGAATACTTTTCACATGGGAAATAATGGAATTTAAAACAATGCAAGTAGCCTTATAGAAATGCTAGCGTTTGTTGGAAATGTTTATATTGAATACGACCCAATTCATGCTGCTATGTACATAGTATTTGGCTCACTCTTTAACAGCTCTCATTGATTCCTCCAGATGTATTAATTGCACTTTTCTAGGCTGGACAAAGTTTATATTTGCTGACCTTGAGTTGCCTATTTTGTCATATAGGATTATCTTTGAGGAAATGCATTACTTCAGTCATCAACAAGTTTCTGATTTTTCTGGTTTTCTAATATTGTAAAATAATGAATATTCTCCACCTAGGAAAACAATACAGATTTTTGGCTTTTAAACTATTGCTAGAGAGATTTGTCTGAAATTCCTTTGTCTTCCATCTCAAATTACAGCTGATTCATGTCTGATTAACATTTCTAGTTCAGTTTAGTTTGTGTTTGCTGTGATATTTACCCTAGTCAATCTTTTCTCTGTGATCAAAACTTTTAATCCTTGCTGTCTTCCCCCCCGCCCGCAAAAGTGGCTTCCCCTGTCTCCTCAGCATCTGTTATAAGGGACCACAGCAGGGTAGTTTTCTTTGAAGGTGAATCCAAGACTGGGTCAGTGTTAGATTCCTCTGTCCTTGTATGCTGATTGGAGCACACAGCAGCCAGAAAACCAAACAAAGGAAGAAAAGATTTTTGTATATCTGCTGCCCCCAAGAAAAACAGTTCTGACCTTTCCTTAGCCTATGACAATTATGCTGTTAAATGTTGCTTTGTTGACTCTTCCCACTGGGTGACAGATCTACTTGTCTGTCTGCAGAAAGTAACACTCACAGAGCTAAGCAAGGCATGTACAACAGGAGGGTTACAAATTCAACCATTTCTCCATTATACAATGAATTGTTAAATTAGTATTGTACAAAAACAACGGTTTTGTTATTTTCAGAAGTGGAAATATCCTATTAGAAATCTAATCGTTTGAACGCTTCTATTAGTCCTAAAAAATTAATTCTAACACCCCCCCCCCCACTTTTCTACTAGGCTTTGTTTGCCAGCTTCCCACCATCGAATATCAGTTCTGCATCCAGTCTCAGTTCTACGGCCTTGTCATCTAATGCTTGTAGCCGCAGAGCATCAGGTTCCATTTCTGAAGTCCAGAATGCATCTAATCTGCACAAAGTGATGTCATCCCAGAGTGCATCTTCACATTTGGTCCCTAAGCCCCCAGTCAATATCAGGAAAGTAGCATCTCAGAGAATATCCAAGTAAGTTTATATTCCTCAATCACAAGTAGTCCTGAAATTAAAGGTTGACTTGCAAGTGTCCCTGATTTCTTCTTGTGGATATAAGGAAGTTTATACACTGGCCTAAGGGATACATTTAGATCTGGGATTTGTCCTACAAGATTTTAACAACAGATAATATGGTTTATTTCCTGAATATGGTGGATTTTTTATTACCTCTGCATATTATAACAGATACATTAATTTATAAGTACTTGATGCTTTTGTACATTGTTCATTTGTACTTTGGAGATTTCTTTACATATTGCAATAATTGCTTTCTGAAAAGTATTAATTATAGTTGTATTTAATTATGTTTGTAAGTATGTATGTACTTATTTAACTATTAAGTTACTTCACTTGTATGATTCTAAGTTACTATTATCTGATAAATTTATTACCTATTTTATTAAAGTGAAATCTCACTTATTTTCTTTTACGTTCAGTTGTTACAGGTAGTCTTCCCCACAATTGGGACCAGTAAGTCCATTACTAAGTGATGTGGTCATTAACCACGATATGTAATTGTGATGGAGTTATCATCTCACTTCTGTTGCAGTCTTAAGCAAATCACCATGGTCATTAAATGAGATCGTGTGACCGTGACTTGCAATTTTAACAGCCGCTCCTCTTGTTGGAAGCCAGCTGTTGAGCATGCAAATGTGATCACGCGACTATGGGATGCTGCAACAGTCGTAAACCTTCACCAGTTGCAAAGTGCCCAAATCTCGACCACGTGACCAGGGCGCTAAGTGTGAGAACCAGTTGTAAAGTTACTTTTTCAGCACTGTCATAACTTCAAATAGTTGCTTAACAGGGCATTTGTGAAGCTAGGACTATCTGTAATGGTCTTCTTGTTTTTTTCCTGGACTAAATAGTGTCAGCCTTTTAAATTTCTCTTTATACAGATGCCTCCCTAAGTTTATTGTAAATTGGGCCTCCATCTTTGAAGATGTTAAGCTTGTTATAAATCTTTGTCTGCTTGTTCTTGCCCTAATGCCAGTAAGTGATAACTCTAGACCAACTTTCTCTGGAGGCTTGGAAACTAAGCAGGGTTTGTAGGCTTGGAAATTGAAAGAACATTAAGTAAGAAACAAGAAATTCAATAAGAAACCAGTGGCAAATTTCACATGGATTGCCATGAAAACTATGTGGTTATATCCATGTAGTTTTTAAGTGTAAAGTTTCACTTGAGAACATCATCTTTAAAATTAAGTTTTAATTAATTATTAATTCTGAAACAATTCTTGGTAATAGGCAACAAATACATAATAGGAAGAGATAAGGACACCAAAGGCTTGAGAGGACAAAGATTGGCTCAACTATATTGGGAGAATATATATGTATTAAACTATTCTATGCACTTACAATAGATTTTGAACAGAGAAGAGAGAAATAAAAGGATATATCATTTACACCTGGTACTATTCCAATTTTTAGCATGAGCTTGCTTGTAGATTAGGTGAAATGCACATATCTAAATGTAATACCTAGAGGAAAGCACATTCATGTACACCATTCAAATAAATGTTAAATACTAAATATTATGCTTCTTATCTAAACTATCCATGTGCTAATAGTTCACTAATCAAATATTAGCTGCAAACATTTTGACAGTAGAGCTTGGATGGGTAACAGTAACCCACTAGCCTCATGCTTTGTTCATCTTACATATAATACTATACTCAATTATGCCTTTCCAAAGTTTAATGTGACTATTTTCAATATAAATTTCCAGCTCTCTCAACAAAAACCAAAAAGTTCTTGGCTACGCCACACAGGAGATACTATATCCCTATCAATCCTCTTGTAGCATCTGATGCTGAGGTGGGGGGACCACACTGGAATGTGTGTACCAGCCACAAAATGATTGCTATCTTATAGCTAGTTAGTATGTATTGATATATTAAACTATATATTAAATATATTAAGGATATTGCACAGATGGGTTATCTGGAATTATCTGCATCAAGTCCAGTATTTGGTTAGTTCCATGATATTTTGACATTTTGACAAATATAAGAGATCATTGTGATTGATGGACAGGTATTCAGAATATAATTTCAAACTCAGAATACTGGATGAACTTTATGGAAGTTATATATATGTATGTATTCCCTCATTGCATGTCTTGCAACCGGGTGATACACAAACACACACACACACACACACACACACACACACACACACACACACACGGCAAAACCAGGCTGTCAATCAATCTATAACACGGAAGCACACATGGAGAGAGGAACCACCCTCACAGGGCCACCCTTATATAGACAGCCTCTTAAAGTGGCAGTAACCCTGCTGACTGATTCTCATTTCATCATCCCAGTTTACAGCCTTACAGCAGCTGGTCAGCTATTAAATCATAATTACCTTAACAAAGTTCATTTTGTTTTCTATAGAAGAAAAATGTATATAGTTCAGAGTTGCCAAAACATGGATGGTCCTGATGTGCCAGTGTACTTACAGGCAACTATTCCCCTCAAAATTAATTTTATCGAAGCATGTTTATTACTGGGTTGATAATAAAGAATTTCTTCACTGTGGTTTCTCGCACTTGCTTCATCACACTTGTTTAGAACATTTAAAAAAATCCTGTGTAAGAAATTCTCTGAGCCCAGTCAAAGGGCATCATCAAATTATTTATTTTAACTATAGAATCTTTGCTATGGTCAGTATCTTTCACAGTACACAAAGAATGGATTTTATTGTTAAGATGAACATTGCAACTGTTTCTGCTTTTCACTCATCACTTTCATTTTTGCCCCACCGGATTACTGTATCATTTTTAGGATTTCAAACTAACATTTTGGGTTAAAAATATCTTTCCTTATTGAAATGTTTTGTTATTTTCAAAATTAATTTATTTTATTTATGGGCTTATATTTTAGCTGATGTAGAATGATACCAATCCCTTCTGGGGGAAATCAACTTCTCTCAGTCAACACTTTCTTAAATATATTGTTTTCCTTGATTCACACTGTTAAAGAATTGGGTCACTAGCCACTGCCAGAAGATCTTTGGCCTTATTATATATACATATTTAGTGGGAGGCATCTGTCCTGGATTTATGCCTAGCTTATCAACCAGTAAATCTTTGTTTTAAATCATTGGGCTTTTTCTATGCTAGAATTTTGTTAGCCATCATGATCTTTGAGATAAGTTAGGCTGCTAATCAACATACTTTGAGTCCTCTTTCAGACAAATTTGATAAATACTTGGTAACTTTGGCAAGTGGACATTCCAATCAAATTAATGGGTGATTTTTTTTTCTCTGTTGGGAGAGGAATGTATGTGTCAATTCAGGTGACAAGCCATTTCAGTGGGTTCTGGTGCTTGCTAAGCAATAATATGTGTATTTGAAGATGCCGGTGTGCTGTACTCACGTATTGGCAAAGAGTATGTTTATCTTCTTGAGATAGATTTGCAGCTCCTTGGACAGACTTTATTTAACTGTGTTTTTGTGGTTTCTATTCTGTGACATGCAAGAGTGTGGGAAAGCTGGAAAAAGCTTGGCTCCAAAAATGAACAAAAGAGGGAAGAAGGAAGACACTTTGGGGAAAAAAACAATTATTCAGAACAAAGAACATAATTTCAGAACACAGTCTAATTAGCAAAGGGTTCCAGAAGCTATTCAACATACTTTCTGAGCTGTTCATCAGGATATAGTATAGTTTCCAAGTCTCTCTTGGCCATTTATAGAATTACATACATGATTTCCATGTGAGGTATATAGAAATAGGGGTGCCTAATATATTCCCCAAAAACTGATGTTGATTGCACAAAAAATCTTTATGGGATCTGGTTCATTGATTCATGTATCCTCCTATATTTCCTAGCTATAAAACAGATTCAAAAGAGGAAAAAAGAAATCAAATTTTCTGCATACAGGAGAGATTTCCACTGGCTCAAAACACTTAGAAGAAAGTATTTCCTGAATGATTCGAGACCATGATTTTTCCATTCTTCAGCCATTTAGAACAAATAATTTGTTTTTTGTTTCTATTTGCAGCTTGATTTTGAATTCCACCAAGATTTCTTTTATATGTATATGTTTCATTTTTTTTTAAAGATGAAAACTAGCAAGAACTAACATTTACACTACTGTAGAGGAAAAGGAGAGAAAAAAGAAAATCCAAAGTCTGTAATAAAAGTAAAGAAATAGTTTCTGATTTTCTTTTTAGCTGTTATTGATATAAATATAAATTATCCTCCTAATCTTATCACCACAACATGAATTGCATTTTTGTTATCTATTTTTTGTAATGAAAACCATGTCATAATTTAATGTTTTTTTCTGTTTCACTCATAAAGTCTCTAAGAGATTTTTCAGTCAGCATTAAATTTGGATCATAAATTTCCTCTGATCAGAGCTGTCAGTCTGGCTATTTCAGCAAGTTCCACACAGTCACTATCCATTCCTCCATTTTGGTAATGTCAAATTGTTCAATCTTTGTGCATATAGCACTAGAGCTTATACACCACCTCTGGTATATGCTTCAGAATGTCAGCATATTGATCCCAACAATCTGGGTCTTCATTTTACTGACCTTGTAAGGATGGAAGGCTAAGTCAACCTTGAACCAGTCAGGATCAAACTCCAGGCTGTGGGCAGAGTTAGCCTGCAATACTGTATGTGTTTGAGGAAATAGGGAAAACTAATAAAAAGACTCAAGATAAATTAAATTAGCTATTTCTTGACCCAGTCATTTTGCTCAAGTTATCTGTTTGCCTCCCAAACTCTCTCAGAAGTTCTATGGGGCTAGAAGCCATTTTTTAATGTGTTCTTCTGGCTTCCAGGGGTTGTTTACTTCTTATTTAGGAAGATACACAACTCATCAAAACTACAAGTGCTTATTGTGATTACCCACCTTGTATGTATGTTTAAACATCAGTTTTCCCCAATCTGGGTATCCTTGGCGGGTGGTTTTTTATTTACCAGAATTCCCCAACCAACTTACCAATAGAGCCACTCCCAAAAATTTTGAATGTTGGCATCTGAAGACTGGAAGGTGCTCAAGAGTTTTTCTATGACTTCTACAGCTTTTGATAGTCTTACAATGAGCATGTTGCATAGGAATGTTTCTTTACTTATCAATAAAATTAAGTTCTTTTAATTAAGGCAAACATTTTTAGATTATATCCATGCAGATTTTATGGGCACTCCTGACCCGGGAGCTATAATAATGGGTGCTTCCATTCTGAATTGATGCCTAAACCAAATATAAGCAACAATATTGGGCCAGTGGGAGGAAGGTGTGTTGGATATGTTTGGCACCTTGAGCTATTTGTAAAAATAATAAAGGTGGAATGTAAACAGACAACAAAAATGCTACCTTTGTACCTCATAGCACTCAACATTTTCAGTTTTTTTTCTCTCTGATACGAAATGAACAAAATGCTTCATCTGTGTAACCTAAATTTGTTGAGAAAGAAGGCAGCAAACAAGAACTCCCTCCTCCAAAGCCTGTGGAGAGCTGATGCCAACTAGACAGTAGGGGGCTAAATGGAAAAAATAACTTGACCTAGTAGAAGGCAGAGTCTCTTAACATTTCTAACAGCTACGCATTTATTACATGGAAAAATGGTCTGGAAAAAGGTTGATGTTTTTGTCTCAGAACATTAGAATGACTTTTCCCCCCTCAAATGATTTTTTTTTCAGCGCTGCCTTCTAATTTAGTGTTTTGTCTGGCAGGATAACCTCTACAGAAAGGCAGCTGAATGGATTCCAGAATAGCCTTAACAGCGCTGCATCCTGTGAGCCACTTGCAAACTCCACAGGTGAGCGAACTAAGACTCTACTATTACTAATTCATTTAAATGCTGCCTTTTGTTTCACTTTTGCAGTACCTTCTATCTTTATGTATCCTATAACCGTCTTACATATAGTATATAGTAGATAAAATCTCCTTGGTGCAACCAGGAAATACCAAGAAAGGCTTGCTTACTTCTGAACAGTAGGAAAGGTGCCTTACTATGACATTTTAAGTGAAAAATCTAGAAATGGTGAAAAGAGAAATGGTTAATGGAGGAAAGAATGTATCTAGGCCAGAGAAAAAGGATGATTGTATCTCACATTCATCAGTGGCATCTTATAATACACACTTATTTTGCTATCGAGGTTTCTTTCCCTCTGTTTCCAATGACAATTCTGTTTTTTAAAGACAACATTGGTTTCACATTTGCTTGTACTGAATTCATTTTAGAGTTGGAACTATATTTTTCACACATGAAAAGGACCAATAACAGTGGAAACTTTAAATTAGCTTGCATTTTTGTGTTTCTGCCATGTTAGCAAATGTGTTCATGTTTGGTTCTCATGAATCTCTTTATCAATTTTCCTGGGATGTTCTTAAGTTAAGAAGAAAGGCTTCAGTGCAAAATAAAATAAAATAAAATAGTCAAGGGACCTGCTTTAGGCTAAGCCATTTTTTCCATTTTCCAGGTCTCTTGGAAGCTGGCCCTCAGATTATATTCGCCAGAGCTAGACCTTTGTACAGCCGAACCCGAACCATTGACACAATTTTAGGGCAAAGAAAGAAAAGGCCAGAGGAGGGAGGGCCAGCCTAAGGTAACAATAGGCATCTCTGTTTCCCCCAAATTTTCCTTTGGTAACACTGTAATTTTAATAGTTATGCTAAGAAAAAAAAAGGGGGAAAGATCTATCTGAAAGAATCTCATAAAATGGAGTTTTGGTGAAAGGGAGAAACTAAGAATAGTAAGTGGATGCCAGAAGCCTGTTCATAACATGCCATTTCCTAGTGTTGAGTACTGTAAGAAGGAAATAAGAATTTGTCTGTTTTTCTACTATAGATTCCTGGGGTAAGCAGCCAGAACCTTAAGTTTTAATCAGGAAAGTAAAGATTTATGGACTTCTGGTTTGCACGTTGGGCTGTTTTTCACACTCCGTAGACTTCAGTGAAGGCTCCAGAGGGCAAAAAACGTGCAAACTGGAATTCACTTCTGGGTTGCCTGTAGGGCAGTTTTTCGCCCTCCGAAGCTTTCAGGAAGCTTCCGTGAAGCCTCTGGAGGGCGAAGAATGGCCCTACAGGCAACCTGGAAGTCACTTTGTGTTCGTCTGTACGGCCGGTTTTCATGCTCCGGAGGCTTCAGTGAAGCTTCCTGAAGGCTCCGGAGGGCGGAAAACGGCCCTACGGACAAACCGGAAGTCACCGTTCCCAAACTTCCAGGTTGCTCATACGGCCGTTTTTTGCCATCTGGAGGCTTCATGGAAGCTCCTAAAGCCTCTAGAGGGCCTCTGGGAGGGCCGGGGAAGCTCTTTTGCTCTCCCCAGTCTTCTAGAAAGCCGTTGGAGCCTGGGTAGTGAAAAAAGCATGCAAAAAGCGGGGGGGGGGTATTTTGGTTCGCGCGTGCAGTATGACCCCCCTGTGCTCCTCCCTCTTTGGGCACACGATCCAAAAAAGGTTAGCCATTACTGCCCTAGGTAGAATTTCACATTGGTAAATTCAATCTCCTTAATTTGGCATATTGAAAATTAAAGAAAATTAATTTAATCACTGATGTTACAAGCAGTTTTTAGTGTGTTTATATAATGACTAGGGTTTCAGAATAAATCCAGGATATTCTGTAATTTTTTTAGTGACACATTAATCTTTTGTGATAAGAACATGAACATTTCCTTTTAGTAAGGCATTCTGTCCTTAAGTCAGGGAGTGATATAATCAATCCACAATAAAAATCCCTGCAGTTTTTACTTAACAATAGTAATTTGTCCTACAGAGTAGCAATGGCATTAATATCTTGCCCACTTTTGTTCAGTGTCTTACTATAATCAACTGTACATGTTGCCTTAACTTTGAAACAGTCCTTCATCAAATAGTACTTCAGATAACACAGCCTTAGTTTTAGCTTGAGATATTACACTGCAAAATACCTTCTTGTGAATATGCCCCAGTAGAGAAATGACAGTTATTAGAGCAGTGGTCGCCAACCTTTCTGGCTTGGTGGACCGGTGGAGGGGGAGGAGGGATGGTTCTGTGCGAGCGGGAGGCCCATGTATGAACTCCAATTGTGCTAGTGCCGGGCTTCTGCAAATGAAGGTTCGTGCGTGAACGCACACATCCGCTGCTCATGCTAATGGGGCTTTGCAAGCACGTCCACCAATCACGTAAGTGGAGCTGCATGTGTGTGCACCCTTGCCCACTGCTTGCATAGCCCAGTTTAAAATGGGCTATGGCCCAGTAGTGGATCACAAACCAGGAGTTGGCAACCCCTGTATTAGAGTTAACTGTTAATGTCCCAAACTGTTTGAGAATTTTTCATTCATGTAGAATAATTGCATCACAAATGGGATTCAATAGTTGTCAGTGTATGGTGGACACTTGCTGAGTTGGTCATTTATATGTTCCACCATTTGTTTTGACCTCATTCACCAGAGTACTAATCACTGCAGATTTCTAAAGAATAGAGTAACTTTGTAATAGTTCCATTAAAAAAATACTAGGATTAGCACAGCCAATTGTAATCCAATCAATTTGATGTGCCTAATCAGCAAATTGTTTGTGAAATATCTTTATCAAAAGTTCACTGATTGGATGAACCTAGGGGAAAAAATTCTTAGTTGTGCCACCTGACAGTGAAGTACACCTATCAGGAGACTCTCCCTATTCTTCCTTTGTAGACTTGAAAGTGGCATTTAACTCAATTTCTGAGAGACACTGAGACACTGTGGGAAAAAATTGACAGGTTATTTCACCAATCATCACCTTCTTTGACTAATGATGATACTGAATAATGACACCACTATTGCAGATTACATGAATGAACAAATGAGAATTGAGTATGCCTATCCCAACCGCCAAAGGAATGAAACAAAGATATGTCTGTATTCGTATTTTAAATTTTTCGTATATTTTTTATTTATATCTTGCCTTTTGTTCAAGAGCTTAAGATGGCATAACACTCTCTCCTATTTCCCCTCACAATTATTACTGTCTAAAGTAGTTAGGCTGAGCGAGAATGATTTACTCAAAGTCATCCAGTGAGTTTCCGTGGCTGAGAAGTTAGAATTGGATGTCCCTTCTAGTCCAATACCTTATACACAATGCCATATGAGCTCTTTATCCTTATAATGACCACCATCTTCTCTCTGGGCTAAAAGACCCCCAATCATTGTAGTTTTTCCTCAGAGGGATCTACTATTTCCTTCTTGTCTGTTCTTTTCAGATTTTCAATATTATTGAGGTTTGAAGACATTGTTCCAGAGGTAGTCTTATATAGCATGGCCATCTATCAAACAATGCCATCTGTCAGGAGTCAAGAAATGTTTAGTATCTGCTCTTGGCAATGGTATTTCCACCATCACCCCACTTCCGAGCTCTTTTGGTTCCCAACCTGATGATAATTTCAGAAGTCTTTAAAAAATGTTCTCCCAAGCCTTGGAACCAGGGTGCTTGTGGAGCCCCCTGCTAGTTGTGTTTTTTGTTATAGGGAGCATTATTGTCTGGACACAACTGTTTTTTTAGTGTAAGATGCCAGGGTCATTGTGGAGGTGCTTGGTCTTTAAATCTCATCAATCAGTCAATCTTAGAGTTATATAAGGACATTGCTATTGAGTCAGTAGTACATTCCATTCCCTTTCTTAATGATTCCAGGTTTAATAAATCAATAGATTTGTTGTGGTTGAAACATTCATAAACTAAAACCTACTTTATCTTATATATGAATCATTATACTCTGTTGGCAAGTATATGCTTGAACAGTCAAAGACATACACAGGGGGATATATAGAGGGGGGGGGGGAATGCAAATAGTGCTGTTGCAAGATATCAGTGGAAATTCCCAGCCTGATAGGCAAATGCCATTTGGAAGACAGACTTTCTTCAGCACAGTAATGTGGCAGGAAAGAATTAAACTCACCTTCCCACTTTTGTATTTTACAATTGAAATAACAAAATACAGGCACATTAAATACACTTGGACCCTTGGCAAAATGAATTTTAGTCTACACAAAATGAATTGTCACTGAATAGAATATTTTAAAAGTTAATTTTCCTGAGTTTTGAGAACACCTTACATGTAATGTTACAGATTACACTAGGCATATTTTTATCTTACAATTTTCATTATTATTTTAAATTGAAACTTAAATATTTGGCAAAATATTTTGTTGATGGAACAAAATGGAACAAAACTATGTCTGATCACTGATCAACAAGGCTTCATTAAAAATGGAAGATGGTAATTAATATCAAATATGCAATAAATATAGTATTACTAGCAATAAATATGATATATAGATTAAGGCTACATTATAATTAATCAATGCTGCAAAATCACTTGACTAAATTGATTAATCTTTTATTTAAGCATTGCATTTATTTGGTGTTAATCTTCATTTTTAAAAGTGGATTATATTTATTGATAATTGCCCAGCACTGAAGATCTTGAACATGAAAAAGCATAGAGTTGAAACTCTTATGGATTTCATCTAATCCTTTGTTTGGTGCAGGAATTCAAATGAAATCATATGGATAAATATGTATTCAACCTTTGCTTAAGTATTTCTTCATCAGATTTTTTTATCATTTTTGCCCTTTTTTGTTTATACAGCTTGCAAGATTTTATATTGATTATGACAATGATAGTACAAGAAATGTAAAACAAATTCATTAATAAAAATACAAATGTATCAGATCTAGGTATGCAAAAATTTAAGATACATATAGTAAGAACACGATACCATCTGCCCATAATTTATCCCAGGGTAATATAGAGTGGTTCTCCTCAGTTCCCAGAGGCCTAACAAAATAATCAAGGTG